TCTATACACTGATCAGCCACAACATTAAAATCACCTGCCTAATATCATGCAGGTCCCCCTTGTCCTCCTGCCCAAACAGGCAGGGACTCAACAAGACCTCTGAATGTGTCCTGCGGTGTAAGGCACCAAGACATTAGCAGCAGATCCTTTAAGTCCTTGAACTCCTTGTCATGTTCTTCAAACCATTCCTGAATAATTTTTGCAGAGTGGCAGGGTGCATTATCTTGCTGAAAGAGGTGTAAGGATGGTTTCCCTACGGTGGTTCAGGCTGTAGGATTGCCGAATGACTAAAGAAACGTTATCAGCACGATAGTATAAAACTGTACATTTCTAGTCTATTACCACCCACTGCCACTTATACCAACGACGGAAATAAGCGCAGTTAGAATAGCTAAATGGGAGAGCGTTGCTATTGAGTGACTATTGTATTGCAATAGGTAGCACTTTAATATTAACCTTGAATCAAGACTAGTTAGCACATAATTAATAATTGAAATGGTTTAATAACAATATTTTGTTATGGTTACACTTGAATTGGTTACAAAATAGATGAAGGATGGTAAAGCATAGTTAATTGTACCCAACATGTAAAATATTACCTGAGAGAAAGAGATAGAGAGAGGAAGAAAAAGAGGGAGAGAGGGCAGAGACCCAAGAAGAGAGACAGCCAAGAAAAGAGACAGAGCAACAGTTACAGTCCTCCTTTATCCCTTCCTTGACCATGTGACTAAAAACCAAATGTGAGACATTCAAACTGACCAATCAGCAGATTACAACTTCACCCACTGGGCAAAAGGTGTGACAATTAGCAGACCCCCGGTGTATACACATGTTGGCCTACAGGCCTTGATCACTATCAGCACCTCTGTGCCTTCAGGAATGCCAAATGCCCCTTTTGTTACTGAAGATAGGTTTGGGACAGGAAAGCAGAAGTCTTTGATAATTTTTGACCTTACAAAGTCGCCCCTTGGCACCGTTGGCCACACTTTAAGAGGCAAAAGGTGACACAGTCCATGAAAACATGCTTTCTGTACTGTGCAGATGTCATCTTCAGTCTTCTGGTCCAGATTTGTTGCAGTTGCAGCTGGTCAGTCTTTGTTCTCCTTTCAGCCCTGTGTGAGAGATCTTCATCGAATGGTGTTGCACCCTTCATAGATATGCAAAACGCCCATTGAATACTTCACACCTCCACAAGAACAGGCACTGAACATGGTAGAATCCGCTTGTCCCTCTTTCTGAGGCAGCACACAGGATGTGAACTTGTGCAGCAGGAATCCTATGATTTCAAAAGAGCATATGGCACAACAAACAGCAAAAGTATACATGGCATTTGTCATTGGTCAGAGGCTTGATGTGGTCAGATTGAATTTGTCTCTGGCAAAAAGCCCTTAAATCTATGCACTTAAAAACTTAAAAAGATGTCAAGGTGAAAAAAAAAGATGATCTGAAAAGCTCTTACACTGTTTTTGGAAACATTCAAATAAATTGCATTATAATAAAATCAACAATTGCTGGTTTTAACACCCCCCTTCATCAGTAAGAGTATAAGCAAAATATTCAGTGTAACCAAATACAGAGATTCAATTATCCAAAAACAATCTTTGGTTCAACTGAAATGGACAACATACAAATAAACAAATCAAATTAGTT